CTATGGTGCAGTGTTGAGTCTATGGTGCAGTGTTGAGTCTATGGTGCAGTGCTGAGTCTATGGTGCAGTGTGAGTCTATGGGCAGTGTGAGTCTATGGTGCAGTGTTGAGTCTATGGTGCAGTGTTGAGTCTATGGTGCAGTGTTGAGTCTATGGTGCAGTGGAGTCTATGGTGCAGTGTTGAGTCTATGGTGCAGTGTTGAGTCTATGGTGCAGTTGTGAGTCTATGGCAGTGTTGAGTCTATGGTGCAGTGTTGAGTCTATGGTGCAGGTGTTGAGTCTATGGGCAGTGCTATCAGGTCTACGAAATCTAAATACGGAACGCATCACGTGGTCGCCTATCTGCTCTACGTTTTTCTAAAAGCGCGTTGCTAAGGCCCCACGTGATCACAGAGGCGCTGCGAGAGTAGCGGCACGGAACGTCTGACTCAACCCCACAACGAGGACATTGTGAGTCTGTGGGTTTCTGTGTGAGTCTGTGGGTCTGTGTGGTGAGTCTGTGGGTCTCTGTGGTGAGTCTGTGGGTCTCTGTGGTGAGTCTGTGGGTCTCTGTGTGGTGAGTCTGTGGGTCTCTGTGTGTGAGTCTGTGGGTCTCTGTGTGGTGAGTCTGTGGGTCTCTGTGTGGTGAGTCTGTGGGTCTCTGTGTGATGAGTCTGTGGGTCTCTGTGTGATGAGTCTGTGGGTCTCTGTGTGGTGAGTCTGTGGGTCTCTGTGTGTGAGTCTGTGGGTCTCTGTGTGGTGAGTCTGTGGGTCTCTGTGTGTGAGTCTGTGGGTCTCTGTGTGGTGAGTCTGTGGGTCTCTGTGTGGTGAGTCTGGGTCTCTGTGGGTGAGTCTGTGGGTCTCTGTGTGGTGAGTCTGTGGGTCTCTGTGTGTGAGTCTGTGGGTCTCTGTGTGGTGAGTCTGTGGGTCTCTGTGTGTGAGTCTGTGGGTCTCTGTGTGGTGAGTCTGTGGGTCTCTGTGTGGTGAGTCTGTGGGTCTCTGTGTGGTGAGTCTGTGGGTCTCTGTGTGGTGAGTCTGTGGGTCTCTGTGTGGTGAGTCTGTGGGTCTCTGTGTGTGAGTCTGTGGGTCTCTGTGTGGTGAGTCTGTGGGTCTCTGTGTGGTGAGTCTGTGGGTCTCTGTGTGGTGAGTCTGTGGGTCTCTGTGTGTGAGTCTGTGGGTCTCTGTGTGTGAGTCTGTGGGTCTCTGTGTGGTGAGTCTGTGGGTCTCTGTGTGTGAGTCTGTGGGTCTCTGTGGTGAGTCTGTGGGTCTCTGTGTGTGAGTCTGTGGGTCTCTGTGTGGTGAGTCTGTGGGTCTCTGTGTGGTGAGTCTGTGGGTCTCTGTGTGGTGAGTCTGTGGGTCTCTGTGTGGTGAGTCTGTGGGTCTCTGTGTGTGAGTCTGTGGGTCTCTGTGTGGTGAGTCTGTGGGTCTCTGTGTGTGAGTCTGTGGGTCTCTGTGTGGTGAGTCTGTGGGTCTCTGTGTGGTGAGTCTGTGGGTCTCTGTGTGGTGAGTCTGTGGGTCTCTGTGTGGTGAGTCTGTGGGTCTCTGTGTGGTGAGTCTGTGGGTCTCTGTGTGGTGAGTCTGTGGGTCTGTGTGTGAGTCTGTGGGTCTCTGTGTGGTGAGTCTGTGGGTCTGTGTGGTGAGTCTGTGGGTCTCTGTGTGGTGAGTCTGTGGGTCTCTGTGTGTGAGTCTGTGGGTCTCTGTGTGGTGAGTCTGTGGGTCTCTGTGTGGTGAGTCTGTGGGTCTCTGTGTGGTGAGTCTGTGGGTCTCTGTGTGGTGAGTCTGTGGGTCTCTGTGTGGTGAGTCTGTGGGTCTCTGTGTGGTGAGTCTGTGGGTCTCTGTGTGATGAGTCTGTGGGTCTCTGTGTGGTGAGTCTGTGGGTCTCTGTGTGTGAGTCTGTGGGTCTCTGTGTGGTGAGTCTGTGGGTCTCTGTGTGATGAGTCTGTGGGTCTCTGTGTGGTGAGTCTGTGGGTCTCTGTGTGGTGAGTCTATGGGTCTCTGTGTGGTGAGTCTGTGGGTCTCTGTGTGGTGAGTCTGTGGGTCTCTGTGTGATGAGTCTGTGGGTCTCTGTGTGGTGAGTCTGTGGGTCTCTGTGTGTGAGTCTGTGGGTCTCTGTGTGGTGAGTCTGTGGGTCTCTGTGTGAGTAGTATGGGTCTCTGTGTGGTGAGTCTGTGGGTCTCTGGTGGTGAGTCTGTGGTCTCTGGTGGTGAGTCTGTGGGTCTCTGTGTGATGAGTCTGTGGGTCTCTGTGTGATGAGTCTGTGGGTCTCTGTGTGGTGAGTCTGTGGTCTCTGTGTGGTGAGTCTGTGGGTCTCTGTGTGGTGAGTCTGTGGGTCTCTGTGTGAGTCTGTGGGTCTCTGTGTGGTGAGTCTGGGTCTCTGTGTGGTGAGTCTGTGGGTCTCTGTGTGGTGAGTCTGTGGGTCTGTGTGGTGAGTCTGTGGGTCTCTGTGGTGAGTCTGTGGGTCTCTGTGTGGTGAGTCTGTGGGTCTCTGTGTGGTGAGTCTGTGGGTCTCTGTGTGTGAGTCTGTGGGTCTCTGTGTGGTGAGTCTGTGGGTCTCTGTGTGATGAGTCTGTGGGTCTCTGTGTGGTGAGTCTGTGGGTCTCTGTGTGGTGAGTCTATGGGTCTCTGTGTGGTGAGTCTGTGGGTCTCTGTGTGGTGAGTCTGTGGGTCTCTGTGTGATGAGTCTGTGGGTCTCTGTGTGGTGAGTCTGTGGGTCTCTGTGTGAGGAGTCTGTGGGTCTCTGTGTGGTGAGTCTGTGGGTCTCTGTGTGTGAGTCTGTGGGTCTCTGTGGTGAGTCTGTGGGTCTCTGTGTGGTGAGTCTATGGGTCTCTGTGTGGTGAGTCTGTGGGTCTCTGTGTGGTGAGTCTGTGGGTCTCTGTGTGTGAGTCTGTGGGTCTCTGTGTGGTGAGTCTGTGGGTCTCTGTGTGTGAGTCTGTGGGTCTCTGTGTGGTGAGTCTGTGGGTCTCTGTGTGGTAGTCTGTGGGTCTGTGTGGTGAGTCTGTGGGTCTCTGTGTGGTGAGTCTGTGGTCTCTGGTGGTGAGTCTGTGGGTCTCTGTGTGGTGAGTCTGTGGGTCTCTGTGTGTGAGTCTGTGGGTCTCTGTGTGGTGAGTCTGGGTCTCTGTGGGTGAGTCTGTGGGTCTCTGTGTGGTGAGTCTGTGGGTCTCTGTGTGATGAGTCTGTGGGTCTCTGTGTGGTGAGTCTGTGGGTCTCTGTGTGGTGAGTCTGTGGGTCTCTGTGTGATGAGTCTGTGTGGTGAGTCTGTGGGTCTCTGTGTGTGAGTCTGTGGGTCTCTGTGTGGTGAGTCTGTGGGTCTCTGTGTGGTGTCGTAGGGTCTCTGTGTGGTGAGTCTGTGGGTCTCTGTGTGGGTCTCTGTGTGGTGAGTCTGTGGGTCTCTGTGTGGTGAGGTCTGTGGGTCTCTGTGTGATGAGTCTGTGGGTTCTCTGTGTGGTGAGTCTGTGGGTCTCTGGTGTGAGTCTGTGGGTCTCTGTGTGGTGAGTCTGTGGGTCTCTGTGTGATGAGTCTGTGGGTCTCTGTGTGGTGAGTCTGTGGGTCTCTGTGTGGTGAGTCTATGGGTCCTCGTGTGAGTGAGTCTGTGGGTCTCTGTGTGGTGAGTCTGTTGGGTCTCTGTGTGATGCGGTCTGTGGGTCCTCGTGTGTGTGTGAAGTCTGTGGGTCTCTGTGTGATATGCGTCTGTGGGTCTCTGTGTGGTGAGTCTTGTGGGTTCTCTGTGTGAGTAGTCTATGGGTCTCTGTGTGGTGAGTTGTGGTCTCTGGTGGTGTACGTCTGTGAGCTCGCGTGGTGAGTCTGTGAGTCTCTGTGGTGAGTCTGTGGGTCTCTGTGTGATGAGTCTGTGGGTCTCTGTGTGATGAGTCTGTGGGTCTCTGTGTGGTGAGTCTGTGGGTCTCTGTGTGGTGAGTCTATGGGTCTCTGTGTGAGTCTGTGGGTCTCTGTGTGAGTCTGTGGGTCTCTGTGTGAGTCTGTGGGTCTCTGTGTAGTGAGTCTGGGTCTCTGTGTGAGTGTGTGGGTCTCTGTGTGTGAGTCTGTGGGTCTCTGTGTGGTGAGTCGTGGGTCTCTGTGTGAGTCTATGGGTCTCTGTGTGGATCTCTGTGTGAGTCTGGGTCTCTGTGTGTGAGTCTGTGGGTCTCTGTGTAGTGAGTCTGTGTGTAGTGAGTCTGTGTGGGTCTCTGTGTAGTGAGTCTGTGGGTCTCTGTGTGGTGAGTCTGTGGGTCTCTGTGTAGTGAGTCTGTGGGTTCTGTGTGGTGAGTCTGTGTGAGTCTCTGTGTAGTGAGTCTGTGGGTCTCTGTGTAGTGAGTCTGTGTGTCTCTGTGTAGTGAGTCTGTGTGTCTCTGTGTGAGTCGGTGTTGGCAGCTGCAGGATGTCTTCACACAAGGAGGCCGTGCCGGGCTGCGCCGCGGTGACCCCACTACGTTGAGCGGCGCCGGTCGCGGTGGCGGCGGTGACCTCACCGGGAAGGTCAAGGGGTGGAGTGGTGGTGGAGGAGAAGGGCGATGAGGTGGAGGTGGTGATGATGGCGGAGAAGGGAAATGCCGTGGCCGCTGGTGGTGACAGCGCCGGGAAGGTCAAGGGGTTGGAGGTGGTGGTGGAGGAGAAGGGCGATGAGGTGGAGGTGGTGATGGTGGAGGAGAAGGGAGATGTTGTGGCCGCTGGCGGTGACCTCATCGGGAAGGTCAAGGAGGTGGAGGTGGTGGTGGAGGAGAAGGTCAAGGAGGTGGGAGGTGGTGATGGCGGAGAAGGGAGATGAGGTGGAGGTGGTAATGGAGGAGAAGGGAGATGAGGTGGAAGATAAGAGTGAGGTGGAGGATGGGAAGGGTGAGGAGGAGGTGGAGGATGGGAAGGGGTGACGAGTTGGATAAGAAGGGTGAGGAGGGTGAGAGGTGGATGGGAAGGGGGGGAGGGTGAGGAGGGTGAGGAGGAGGTGGATGATGAGGACGAGGAGGTGGGTGACAGTGAGGAGGAGGTGGAGGGTGCGGAGGAGGTGGAGGGTGAGGTGGGATGAGGATGAGAAGGGTGAGGAGGTGGAGGACGAGGAGGGTGACAGTGAGGAGGTGTGATGGCCTCCTCCTCCTCCCACGTCGTCCTCAAGCGCCAGCGGAGCCTCACGGGGCGAGGCAGCCCCACGGAGCAGAAGAGAAAGAGGTACACACACACTTATACATATATATACATACACATATTATAACATACACAACACATACATACACACACACTATATACATACATATACATACATACACACATACATACACACACATACATACACATACATATATATAACATACACCACACATACAACACACATACATACACACATACACACATACACACACATACATACACATACATATATATACAACAACAACACACAACCGCCATTCGCCACTAAGTGGCGGTGACGTCACCACGACGCTTGTGCCAGGCCATGTGCACCGTGAGGCTACCACGTGAAGTGTCGAACACCCGCTGGCAGGAGGTCACGGGGCAGACCCAGCAGGTGCCACGGGTCGACTGACTGTGATGACCGAGACGACTGGCTGATGCACCACCTGTGCCCCCTACTGTGCCAACTTGCTGTGCTTTAGCCACCCAGCACTCCGCTCGTGTTGTGAGCGTCGCTCACAGAGGCTGATCTTGACACTGCTGGTACCAGTCATCGGCAAGTCCACTCAGCTCCACGTCCTCCTGTACCACATCACTCCATCTCTTCTATAACCCGTGCCGCGCCAGTTTCGCCCCCTTGTTCCGGCCGAACAAAAGCTGTTTAGGCATGCGGGTGGCTGGCATGCGGGCTACATGACCCAGCCAACGCAGCCTTGCCTGCTGGAGGTGCTCACCGATGGGACTTTGCCCAGATCTTTCAAGGATTTGTGATCCTTGAAAGATCTGGGTAACCGGCGAAGATGTTCCATTAGGGGAGTGCACGTTTCGCAAGCGTAGAGAAGGGAGGGAATGACCGTGGCCGAGAAGACCTGAAGCTTCCACATAGCGTTACGCAACCGATTAAAAGATACATGCCATTCGACTGATTCGGAGTGAGACCTCTGCTGTTAAACCAGAGACGGTCATAAGCACACTGCCCAGGTATGGGAAACTCTCCACTCTCTTCACAACTTCCCCATCACCGATTAGGAGTTGTGGGGGTGGAGTGTCCGATGGTACAAAATACCAAGGCAAGTGCTTAGTTTTGGTGGGGCTGATGGTAAGGCCCCACCTCTTAGTGGCACACTCCAGTTTCAGCAGCAGCGTCTCCAACTCCTCCTCTGAATGAGCAGCAATTACCAATCATCGGGATACATAACGTGGTTGACCAATAGGGAGCCATCCCTTGACCGCACCCGGGCATCGATCAGCCTCTCATTATATCTGTACCAAATGGAAATTCCCCTGGTACAGCTATTGAAGGCTTCACGAACTACGTGGTCAAAATAGATGTTAAATAATGTGGGAGCCAGAGGACATCCCTGTCGCACCCCAAGGTGTACAGGGAATGGCTCCGACTCCCGGCCACGTAGTTTTACCCGGGCCCACTCACCATCATGAAGGTTCTTAATGATCGTGAGCAGAGGGTCAGGGACTCCGAAAGCACGAAGAACAACCCAGAGCCCAGTCCTACTGATGGTATCATAGGCCTTGACCAGGTCAATAAAGCAGAGATGTAGGTCTTTTTGGAATTCCCTACACCTCTGCTGTAGCAGACGGACAGAAAATATGGCATCTGTGCAGGACTGCCCTTTCCTGAAACCCCTGTAGTTGTTACAGTCTGTGCGGTCCCCCTTCTTAAAGAGGGGGTCACCAGGGCATCCTTCAAATCCTGTGGAACCCATCCAGTGGTCCAGACTGTTGTTATGATGTCATGTAGGGCAATCTGTGCACAAACGCCACCCTCCCTCAGCAATTCGCTTGGGAGATCATCTCTGCCCGGTGCCTTTCCCTGTCTCAGACTCTGGATCGCCTTCAGTACTTCCTCAAGAGATGGCACCTCAGCCAGCCACTCACAGGGGGTGACTTCTTTTTCCAATATTTGAGACACCGCAGCCTCAGCAGGGGCATCCCCACTTTGTGCCATGATGTTTTCCTGGCTGAGGGATTTCCCCTCCCCCAGGACCTCACAGAAATGCTCAAAAAATCTGCAAAACTGTTCCCTGGGGGTCGGAGATTGGATTACCGTTTTTTCCCCTAATGATGGTAATAGGTGTGGCGCTGCAGGTTACTTTTTTGATGGAGTTAAATAGGAAATTGTGATCCGCGACCACCACCCATCCTTGCAGCGCCTCACGCCTCTCCGAACCTCCGAGCGAAGCCTCATTCTCCGACGTGGGATGTTGTAGCTGATGAGAGTGGGCCTGTCGCTTTTTCTCAACTATCCTGAACACCTCCTCTGTCAGCCAGGGTCTCTGGGGAGGTCTGGACCGCATACCCAAAGCAGCCATTGCAGCTGCGTGAGTCACAGTCCTAAACCTCGCCCATTTACCCTCGACATCAGCTTCTCGACTGACTCAGCCCTTCATCTTCGACCCAAGATGCGCCCCTTCACGATGAGGCGTTACGTCATGCAGCTATAACCGCAGTAACCCCTCAGGTGTCACCCTGCCATTACACATACACAAGACAAAGATCCTCCGTATAGCCTTAACAGACTGTAGGGGCAAGTGCTGTTAGCGAGCACCTATGAAGGCCGGCACGGCACACGAGGGGGTGTGTGGCCAGCACCACGCCCGACCGCCTTTGTCTCCCCAGTGGCGATGTTTACACACCGCACCAGGTACTCATTTCAGGCTGAGTCGACCTACGGGAGGCCCAGGACCGGTTCAGATAATCGTCACTGGTGTTGGCCGTGAGCGGGAATCGAACCCGGGTCGCCGGGTTCATAGCGCAGCGTAGCGCTAACCGCTACACTACCGCTCCCCATTCACATACACACACATATACATACACACACATATGTAGTAAGTTCGAGGAGACGATGTCGAAGTTGAGGCACACTCTGTTTATAACCCAGGGACAGGCACAATAGTTGAAGGGGTATCGACCCCTTCACCCGTACTATGGGAAACCCACCCTAGTACTAAGCCCCCTGTCCTGTTCCCCAGTCCTCCTCTACTGGGCTACGGGAGGCTGACTGATCTGGCCCTGGCAAGCACAGATCTCGGCACCAGCTAACCAGCCTTGCCCTGATAAGGGCAGCGGTCTGGAAGCTTTTGGGCCGCGCCGCTGGCTTACCCGGCTCGGCCCTTATAAGGACAGCGAGACCGGGGAGTCCAGGGCCTAATCTCCGAGTCTTGGATCTTCACTGGTCAGCTTCGTGTCGAACTGCCTCGAGCTCTTTGGGTCTCCACCTTTTATAGGGATCACCTCCGAGGGCTGGGGGCGTGGGCAATAACGGATGCGGACGTCGGTGTGACCACCCGTGTATGTGAGTGCCAACACCCCTGTGTTTGTTGTCCGCCGTTTCTCCCGTAATAATCCCTACACATACACACACATACACACACATATACATACACACACATATACATACACATACACACATATACATGCACACACATACACACACATATACATACACACATAAACATACACGTGTAATATGAAGATGCATATTGTGTGTGTGTGTCTGGGGGGGGGGGATAACTGGGCGATGGTGATTGGCTCTGCCGGCCTCAGCCCGCAGCCAATGGGATGTCGAGCCAGAGGCGTGGCCCTGGGGCTGCACAGCAACATCTAGAAGGTTCCAGGGGTGAGGCTGCTGATTGGATGGGTGGCATCACGTGGGCCACGTGGTGTAAGGGGTAGAGAGACACAAGCTCGTGGTCAGTGTGGAGAGCAGAGGTCGCAAACGGGTTTTGATTCCTTACCCCCTGTACCCGATTACCCGTACCCGACACCCGTACCCGGCCGCACCAGGGTCGTAAACGGGTACCCGTACCCGGCCGTACCCGTACCCTACCCGTACCCAGCTGGGTACGGGTACCCGTTCCCTACCCGTACCCTACCCGAAACGAGTGACAAACGGTTACTCACCGGTGACTCACGGCCTACCTGTACCCGTACCCTACCTATACCCGATACCCGTACCCTACCTGTACCCGGCTGGGTACGGGTACCCGTTCCCTACCCGTACCCTACCCGAAATGAGTGACAAATGGTTACTCACCAGTGACTCACGGCCTACCCGTACCCGGCCGCACCAGGGTCGCAAACGGCTACCCGTACCCGGCCGGGTACGGGTAGCCGGGTATCGGATACCCGGTTGCAACCTCTGGTGGAGAGGTGTGAGGGAGCGAGCGAGCGAACGCCACACTGGAGTAACGGGGGAAAAGGAACCCGGCGTGTGAGGGAGCTGTGTACATGGAGAACAAATACAGACCAGACAAAAGACACGATATCGTCCGGAGCGGATTTATGACACATCTGTCTCTGTGTGGTGAATCTATGGGTGTCTGTGTGGTGATGTCTATGGGTGTCTGCGTGGTGATGATGTCTATGGGTGTCTGTGTGGTGATGTCTATGGGTGTCTGTGTGGTGATGTCTATGGGTGTCTGCGTGGTGAGTGCCGCTGTGGGTGAGTGCTGTCAATGTGGTTACCCACAGCCCCGTCTTCAACCAAGGAGTGTGGTACGAGAAAAAAAGACGCAGTTCGCGGACACTGTCCAGCTCAAAGGTCGGTGTGTGCGTACGTGTGTGTGTGTACGTGTGTGTGTACGTGTGTGTGTGCGTACGGTGTGTGTGTACGTGTGTGTACGTGTGTGTGTACGTGTGTGCGTACGTGTGTGTACGTGTGTGCGTACAAGTGTGTGTGTGTGTGTGTACGTGTGTGTGTACGTGTGTGTGTACGTGTGTGTGTACGTGTGTGTGAACGTGTGTGCCGGACGGGCAACACTGTCGTGGGCAGTGCTGTGGGGGGAGGGCCAATGCCCATTGGCCTCTCCCCTCATGGCATCTGTGACCACCACAGTGGCTAAACGGGGGCTCTGGACGGCTGCGAGGGGCTGGTAACCCCTCCACCTTCTATTAATTACCACGAAACCACGAATTAAACATAAACCTGTAACTAATAAGCTTGTGCCGGAGGCCCCGGGGGGTCAGGCTTTTATGACGTCTCCTGGCCAAACCCCATTTGGCGGAGCCAGGAGATTGAATCTTCACCCTCGGGGCTCCTCCAGAAACAACGAAAAACCATTGCGGTTGGCCACGTGGAATGTTCGAACGCTCACTGCGGAGGAGAGGCTGCCACTCCTTTGTCGGGAGCTGGACCGGTACCGCCTGGATCTCTGTGGCATTCAGGAGGTCCGGTGGACCGGTTCTGGCTCTTGAGGGGTGGGCAGTCCTCTACTCGGGGCAGGAGACTGCCAAACAACAGGGTGTGGCTCTTCTTCTGAACAAAAGAATGAAGGGGGCGTGGGAGGTGTGGGAAGCTGTAAGCCCCAGGATACTTTGGGCTCGCCGTCCCATCAACCGGAGGCGAGGAGTGGTGGTCGTGGTTACTTATGCCCCCACCGAAGACGAACATCCGTGGAGGGATGCAGGCAAAGCCGATGAGTCAGACGCTTTCTATGACCTCCTGTCACAGGTGCTGGCTAAAGTGGCCACTCGGGACTTCAATGCCCGAGTTGGTCATGATGCTGGCACCTGGTCTGGAGTGATTGGAAGGCATGGGCCAGATCAGCTCAATAACAATGGTAGGAGGCTGCTAGATTTTTGTGCAGCCCATGGGCTTGTAATTACCAACACGCTCTTCCGGCATCGGCGCATCCACACAACATCATGGATGCATGCCGGGTCCAAGCAAGAACATCTGCTGGACTACATAGTGACGGACCAGCGGATGCGAGCCCATGTCCTTGACACCAGGACCTACCGTGGAGCTGATCTGCCCTCTGACCATCGACTAGTCATCTGTAAGATGCGCCTGCCATTTATCCACTCCGGTGGTGGGTGTACACCCAGGATCCCATTCCAACCAAAAGTGGCCTGGTCTCAGTTAGCTGATGAAAGTTGCAAGAGAGAATTTCATCATCGCTTGCAGCTGGGGTTGGCATCGTCCCCCACTCCACCTGATGTCGAGGGTAAATGGGCGAGGTTTAAGACTGTGACTCATGCAGCTGCAATGGCGGTCCAGACCTCCCCAGAAACCCTGGCTGACAGAGGAGGTGTTCAGGTTAATTGAGAAAAAGCGACAGGCCCACTCTCATCGCCTACAGCATCCCACGTCAGAGAATGAGGAGGTTTACCGCAGCCTTCGCTTGGAGGTTCGGAGAGCCGTAAGGCGCTGCAAGGAAGGGTGGTGGTCGCGGGTTGCTGAGGAGATGGAATCTGCCTCAGTGGCCTGCGATCACAAATCACTATTTAACTCCATCAAAAAAGTAACCTGCAGCGCCACACCTATTACCATCATTAGGGGAAAAAACGGTGATCCAATCTCCGACCCCCAGGAACAGGTTTGCAGATTTGCTGAGCATTTCTCTGAGCTCCTGGGGGAGGGAAAATCTCTCAGCCAGAAAAACATCATGGCACAAAGTGGGGATAACCCTGCTGAGGCTTCGGTGCCTCAAATATTGGAAGAAGAAGTCACCCCCTGTGAGTGGCTGACTGAGGTGCCATCCGTTGAGGAAGTACTGAAGGCAATCCAGAGCCTGAGACCAGGAAAGGCACCGGGCAGAGATGATCTCCCAAGCGAAATGCTGTGGGAGGGTGGTGCTTGTGCACAGATTGCCCTATATGACATCATAACAACAGTCTGGACCGCTGGACGGGCTCCGCAGGATTGGAAGGATGCCCTGGTGGTCCCCCTCTTTAAGAAGGGAGACCGCACAGACTGTAACAACTACAGGGGCATCTCACTCCTCAGTGTGCCGGGAAAGATCCTGGCAAGGATTATTCAACATCGCCTTGCTAGGCACGCTGAGGAGAGGCTTGCGGAACCCCAATGCGGTTTCAGGAAAGGGCGGTCCTGTATAGATGCCATATTTTCTGTCCGTCTGCTACAGCAGAGGTGTAGGGAATTCCAACAAGACCTACATCTCTATTTTATTAACTTGGTCAAGGCCTATGATACCATCAGTAGGCCTGGGCTCTGGGTTGGTCTTCATGCTTTCGGAGTCCCTGACCCTCTGCTCACGATCATTAAGGACCTTCATGATGGTGAGCGGGCCCGGGTAAAACTACGTGGCCGGGAGTCGGAGCCTTTCTCTGTACACCTTGGGGTGCGACAGGGATGTCCTCTGGCTCCCACATTATTTAACATCTATTTCGACTGCGTAGTTCGTGACGCCTTCAATAGCTGTACTGGGGGAATTTCCATTTGGTACAGATATAATGGGAGGCTGATCGACGCCCGGGTGCGATCAAGGGATGGCTCCCTATTGGTCAACCACGTTATGTATGCCGATGATTTGGTAATAGCTGCTCATTCAGAAGAGGAGTTGGAGACGCTGCTGCTGAGACTGGAGCGTGCCACTAAGAGGTGGGGCCTTACCATCAGCCCCACCAAAACTAAGCACCTGCCTGGGTATTTTGTACCATCGGACACTCCACCCCAACAACTCCCAATTGGTGATGGGGCAGTTGTGGAGAGAGTGGAGAGTTTCCCATACCTGGGCAGTGTGCTTATGACCGGCTCCAGTTTGTCAGCAGAGGTCTCACTCCGAATCAGTCGAGCGGCAATATCTTTTCATCGGTTGCGTAACGCTGTGTGGAAGCTACCTGGTCTGTCGCTCCGCACGAAGCTTCAGGTCTTCTGGGCCACGGTCATTCCCTCCCTTTTCTACGCTTGCGAAACGTGGACCCCCCTAATGGAGCATCTTCGCCGGTTGAAAACATTTAGGCTGGCCTGCCTACGATCCATCTTGGGTTTAACCAGGCTGGATTGTGTGAGGAGCTCACAAATCCTTGAAAGATCTGGGCAAAGTCCCATCGGTGAGCTCCTCCGGCAGGCAAGGCTGCGTTGGCTGGGTCATGTAGCCCGCATGCCCAGCCACCGCATGCCTAAACAGCTTTTGTTCAGCCGGATCGAGGGGGCTAAACGGGCGCGGCACGGGCTAGAGAAGAGATGGAGTGATGTGGTGCAGGAGGACGTGGAGCTGAGTGGACTTGCCGATGACTGGTACCAGGTGTCAAGATCGGCCTTAGTGGAGGAGGCTCGTGAAGGACGCTACTGGGCAGTTGGAGGCAGTCGCCCTCCAACATCAAAGGAGGGCGGAGGAGCGACGCTCACAACAATGAGCGGAGCGCCGGGTGGCTAAAGCACAGCAAGTTGGTACAATAGGGGGCACAGGTGGTGCATCAGCCAGTCATCTCGGTCATCTTGGTCAGTCGACCCGTGGCACCCGTGACCTCCTGTCAGCGGGCGTTCGACACTTCACATGGCCTCAAGGTGCACTTGGCCTGGCACAAGCGTCGTGGTGACGTCACCGCCAATTAGTGGCGAATGGCGGTTGTTGTTGTTGTGTAAGTGTGTGTGAACGTGTGTGTGTGAACGTGTGTGTGTACGTGTGTGTGCGTACGTGTGTGTGCGAACGTGTGTGTGTGTACGTGTGTGTGTGTACGTGTGTGTGTGAACGTGTGTGTGTGTAAGTGTGTGTGAACGTGTGTGTGAACGTGTGTGTGTACGTGTGTGTGCGTACGTGTGTGTGCGTACGTGTGTGTGCGTACGTGTGTGTGCGTACGTGTGTGTGTGTACGTGTGTGTGTGAACGTGTGTGTGTGTACGTGTGTGTGTGTGAGCGTGTGTGTGTGTGTACGTGTGTGTGTGAACGTGTGCATGTGTACGTGTGCGTGTGTACGTGTGCGTGTGAACGTGTGTGTGTGTGTACGTGTGTGTGTGTACGTGTGTGTGTGAACGTGTGTGTGTGTGTGAACGTGTGTGTGTGTACGTGTGTGTGTGAACGTGTGTGTGTGTACGTGTGTGTGTGTACGTGTGTGTGTGTACGTGTGTGTGTATGTGTGTGTGTGTACGTGTGTGTACGTGTGTGTGTGAACGTGTGTGTATGTACGTGTGTGTACGTGTGTGTGTGTACGTGTGTGTGTGAACGTGTGTGTGTACGTGTGTGTGTGTACGTGTGTGTGTACGTGTGTGTGTGTACGTGTGAACGTGTGCGTGTGTGCGTGTGTACGTGTGTGTGTGTGAACGTGTGTGTGTGTACGTGTGTGTGTGAACGTGTGTACGTGTGTGTGTGTACGTGTGTGTGTACGTGTGTGTGTGTACGTGTGTGTGAACGTGTGTGTGTGTACGTGTGTGTGTGTTAGTGTGCGTGTGTACGTGTGCGTGTGTACGTGTGTGTGTGTACGTGTGTGTGTGTACGTGTGTGTACGTGTGTGTGTGTACGTGTGTGTGAACGTGTGTGTGTGTACGTGTGTGTGTGTTAGTGTGCGTGTGTACGTGTGCGTGTGTACGTGTGTGTGTACGTGTGTGTGTGAACGTGTGTGTGTGTACGTGTGTGTGTTTACGTGTGTGTGTGTGTGTACGTGTGTGTGTGCAGAGATTGTTTCTGGATCCGTACTCGTCCTCCGAAGACAGCGACAATGACGACAACTTCCCAAACACACAGACTCAGTGACACACACACAGACACACACACACAGACTCGGTGACACACACACAGACACACACACAGACACACACACAGACACACACACAGACACACACACAGACACACACAGACACACACACAGACACACACAGACTCAGTGACACACACACAGACACACACAGACTCAGTGACACACACACAGACACACACAGACACACACACAGACACACACAGACTCAGTGACACACACACAGACACACACACGTACACACACACAGACTCAGTGACACACACACAGACTCAGTGACACACACACAGACACACACACAGACACACAGACACACACAGACTCAGTGACACACACACAGACTCAGTGACAACAAAGATCCCCCATATAGCCTTAACAGACTGTAGGGGCAAGTGCTGTTAGCGAGCACCTATGAAGGCCAGCACGGCACACGAGGGGGTGGGTGGCCAGCACCACGCCCGACCGCCTTTGTCTCCCTAGTGGTGATGTTTACACACCGCACCAGGTACTCATTTGAGGCTGAGTCGACCTAGGGGAGGCCCAGGACCGGTTCAGATAATCGTCACTGGTGTTGGCCGTGAGCGGGAATCGAACTCGGGTCACCGGGTTCATAGCGCAGCGCGCTAACCGCTACACTATCGCTCCGTGTCGCTGTGTGTGTCGCTGTGTGTGTCTGTGTGTGTCTGTGTGTGTGTCACTCAGTGACACACACACAGACACACACACAGACACAGTGACACACACACAGACTCACACACAGACACACACACAGACTCAGTGACAAACACACAGACTCAGTGACACGCACACAGACACACAGACACAGTGACACACACACAGACACACACACAGACACACACACAGACTCAGTGACACACACACAGACACACACACAGACTCAGTGACACACACACAGGCACACACACAGACTCAGTGACACACACACAGACTCAGTGACACACACACAGACTCAGTGACACACACACAGACACACACAGACACACACAGACACACTCACAGACACATAGACACACACGGAGACACACACAGACATACACAGAGACACACACATAGACACACAGACACACACAGAGACACACACACAGACACACACAGAGACACATAGACACACACAGAGACACACAGACACACACACAGACTCAGTGACACACACAGACACACACAGACACATAGACACACACAGACACACTCACAGACACACTCACAGACACACACAGACACACACAGACACACAGCTGAAGTGGGCTACTCAAGCTGCTCGCTCTGCTTTGGGTGTTGCCCGTCGATTTGGAAGTAATCCCGCGGCAACGCCGCCTCAAGAGAACGACGACCCACAAAAGGGTTTTGAAGTTATATCCGTTGACTCGTGAACCGAATAAATCCCGTGTTCCTCGTTGAGTCTCGTCATCGTTTTTATTTTCTTACCTATAAACGACACTTTTTACAGGTAGGAACAATGTCCCACACTGCTGCCCACCAGGGATTATTTGTCTGTCTGTCTGCCGTGGATAAATAAATATATAATATAGACAGCTCTCTGATTGGTGGAGACCTACTGCCGGGTACGGAGAGGGGAGGGGCCTAAGGAAGGGGGGGGTCAGGGGAGGGGCCTAAAGATATGGGGGGGGTCAGGGGAGGGGCCTGAGGGAGGGGGGTTCAGGGGAGGGGCCTGAGGGAGGGGGGTTCAGGGGAGGGGCCTGAGGGAGGGGGGGGGGTCAGGGGAGGGGCCTAAAGATATGGGGGGGGTCAGGGGAGGGGCCTAAGGGACGGGGGGTCAGGGGAGGGGCCTAAGGGAGGGGGGGTCAGGGGAGGGGCCTAAGGGAGGGGGGGTCAGGGGAGGGGCCTAAGGATATGGGGGGGTCAGGGGAGGGGCCTAAGGGACGGGGGGTCAGGGGAGGGGCCTGAGGGGGGGGGTCAGGGGAGGGGCCTGAGGGAGGGGGAGGGGCCGATAGTGAAGGGGGCTGTCTGCCTGGCTGGCTGCCTGGCTACCTCAAGTCACGTGATCTTGTACACAGGGAGAGGAACAGCAGGTTCCACACTGCCCACCAGGGATTATGTGTCTGTCTGTCGTGCACGAATGCGCTGTCCAACCAAGTTCCGACCTGCACACTGCGAAGGAACATGTTTTTTTCCGTGTGTCTGTCTGTCCGTCCGTCTGTCTCCGTGTGGACGCTAGACTTGCGAAGGGTTCGGCTCGCGAGCCGTGGAGTTGACGTTGACGACGAGTCGCTGGTTCCACGCCGCAAGCCCCGCGGTGAGCCGGCGCTGTTCCGCTTTCCCATCCGGAAACTTGAAAGTAGTTAAATGAACAGTTTAGTGCCGTTATTTCGCATCGTTTAAAAAACACGTTCCTTCGGAGTGGGTAGGTAGGAACTTGGTTGGACAGCGCATTCGTGCACGACAGACAGACAAATAATCCTTGGTGGGCAAGTGTGGAACCTGTTGTTCCTCTACCTGTGTACAAGATCACGTGACTTGAGGTAGCCAGGCAGCCAGCCCCCTTCACTATTGGCCCTTCCCCTGACCCCCCTCCCTTAGGCCCCTCCCCCCTTAGGCCCCTCCCCTGACCACCCCCCCCATATCCTCAGGCCCCTCCCCTGACCCCCCTCCCTTAGGCCCCTCCCCTCTCCGTACCCGGCAGTAGGTCTCCACCAATCAAAGAGCTGTTTGTATTATATATTTATTTATGCACGACAGACAGACAGATAAATAATCCCTGGTGGGCAGTGTGGAACATTGTGTCCCTGCCTGTGTATTTCCTTGCGCCACTCAAGCTGCCCGGGGGTTGCCCCGAGCGGGGAGCTCACACGGCCGAATCGAACGAGGAACGCCACTTGACCGACTCGGAACGAGACGGTTCCGGGGCCAAACCAGAGCCGGTCTCGAACGCACCGCCCAGACACGGAGGGTGACACGCCCCCTCCACCACTCTAGCCATGACTGCCCCACGGTGGCTAGGAGATGTTGACTACCTCGCCTGGTGCGCAGGAGGTCTGTGTCTCTCTCTCTCTCATCATCATCACGGTGGCTAGGAGATGTTGACTACCTCGCCTGGTGCGCAGGAGGTCGTGGGTTCGATCAAGACCATGGCTACGCCTGCTGCTGTATGTTTGGAGTTTGTGGTGTCTCTCTCATCATCAAGGTGGCTATGAGATGTTGACTACCGCGGCTGGTCTACAGGAGGTCTGTGTCTCTCTCTTTCATCATCACCACGGTGGCTAGGAGATGTTGACTACCTCGCCTGGTGCGCAGGAGGTCTGTGTCTCTCTCTCATCATCATCACGGTGGCTAGGAGATGTTGACTACCTCGCTTGGTGCGCAGGAGGTCTGTGTCTCTCTCTCATCATCATCACGGTGGCTATGAGATGTTGACTACCTCGCCTGGTGCGCAGGAGGTCTGTGTCTCTCTCTCATCATCATCACGGTGGCTATGAGATGTTGACTACCTCGCCTGGTGCGCAGGAGGTCTGTGTCTCTCTCTCTCATCATCATCACGGTGGCTATGAGATGTTGACTACCTCGCCTGGTGCGCAGGAGGTCTGTGTCTCTCTCTCTCATCATCATCACGGTGGCTAGGAGATGTTGACTACCTCGCCTGGTGCGCAGGAGGTCTGTGTCTCTCTCTCATCATCATCACGGTGGCTAGGAGATGTTGACTACCTCGCCTGGTGCGCAGGAGGTCTGTGTCTCTCTCTCTCTCTCATCATCATCACGGTGGCTAGGAGATGTTGACTACCTCGCCTGGTGCGCAGGAGGTCTGTGTCTCTCTCTCTCTCATCATCATCACGGTGGCTAGGAGATGTTGACTACCTCGCCTGGTGCGCAGGAGGTCTGTCTCTCTCTCTCATCATCATCACGGTGGCTAGGAGATGTTGACTACCTCGCCTGGTGCGCAGGAGGTCTGTGTCTCTCTCTCTCATCATCATCACGGTGGCTAGGAGATGTTGACTACCTCGCCTGGTGCGCAGGAGGTCGTGGGTTCGATCAAGACCATGGCTACGCCTGCTGCTGTATGTTTGGAGTTTGTGGTGTCTCTCTCATCATCAAGGTGGCTATGAGATGTTGACTACCGCGGCTGGTGCGCAGGAGGTCTGTCTCTCTCTCTCATCATCATCACGGTGGCTAGGAGATGTTGACTACCTCGCCTGGTGCGCAGGAGGTCTGTGTCTCTCTCTCTCATCATCATCACGGTGGCTAGGAGATGTTGACTACCTCGCCTGGTGCGCAGGAGGTCGTGGGTTCGATCAAGACCATGGCTACGCCTGCTGCTGTATGTTTGGAGTTTGTGGTGTCTCTCTCATCATCAAGGTGGCTATGAGATGTTGACTACCGCGGCTGGTGCGCAGGAGGTCTGTGTCTCTCTCTTTCATCATCACCACGGTGGCTAGGAGATGTTGACTACCTCGCCTGGTGTGCAGGAGGTCGTGGGTTCGATCCCAACCCTGACGATGCCTGCTGCTGTCTATTTGGAGTTTGCGGTGTCTCTCTCATCATCACGGTGGCTAGGAGATGTTAACTACCTCGCCTGGTGCGCAGGAGGTCGTGGGTTCGATCCCGACCCTGACACCTGCTGCTGTATATTTAGAGTTTGCGTGTCTCTCATCATCATCACGGTGGCTATGAGATGTTGACTACCTCGCCGGGTGTACAGGAGGTCGTGAGTTCCATCCCGACCCTGAAGCCTGCTGCTGTATGTTTGGAGTTTGTGTGTCTCTCTCTCTCTCTCATCACGGTGGCTATGAGATGTTGACTACCTCGCCTGGTATACAGGAGGTCGTGAGTTCCATCCCGACCCTGACGATGCCTGCTGCTGTCTATTTGGAGTTTGCTGTGTCTCTCTCATCATCACGGTGGCTAGGAGATGTTGACTACCTCGCCTGGTACGCAGCAGGTCGTGGGTTCGATCCAGACCATGACACCTGCTGCTGTATATTTGGAGTTTGCGGTGTCTCTCATCATCACGGTGGCTAGGAGATGTTAACTACCTCGCCGGGTGTACAGGAGGTCGTGAGTTCCATCCCGACAGGCTAAAATAACCCCTGCCCCGATTAAACCCGGGTATAGTTTGGCCCAGTCCAGAGTATACCCGGGGGGGGGGGGGGGGGATGAAGTCTCCAAGGCTAAACTAGACCCCCCGGGGGTTTAAACTCGACTGGGCCAGACCATACCGCTCCTGGCCAGACTAAGCCCCGTGTGAAAGTTCACAGGCAATTATCCAGACAGAGAACAGGCGACAACGCACTTCAATCGATATCTAAAACGCGTACGCGTGGAAGTAAGAATCTCAATTTGATCAATTGAAGCATTTTTAAGTTCAGGGTTATTAAATCCTTTATATTAAGTTCGCTTGCTTGCTTAGGACCGTGCAAATCTTTCGGTCGTTTTTTAACCCACTTCCCGTGATCCAACCGAGCTGATATTTTGCACACAGACTCGTTGTTCGTGACAATTAATGTTCGTGAAAATTTTTTTTCCAAAATTTTACACTGTTTAGGGAAAACAAATTAAATATTTAATTACCAATTGTTTAATGCTGCCAGACAATCATCTGACCCATAGGTGGCAGCCATCTCAAGCCAGAGGACGAGAGGACTCTAGCCGCCCCGATGCCACGCATATAAAGGATTTATAGTGAAAAACTTTGTTTTTACGGGTTAAATTTTTTTTAAAGTTTTTTTTTTCTGGTTGAAGCAGTCAACGTCTACGTGTTTACAGTTTAAATAAAATGTTGGAAAAATTTAGTAATTCACGTGTATATCGCTCAACGCTATTACTATCACGGGGGTATGATGATTTGGCCTAAAGGGGCATAATTTGGCCTAGGCCATAATATACCCGGCTATAATCTAGCCTAGGCCGTTTTAACCCCGGGTACACTACACCTGTGGGTACACTACACCTGTGTGTATACTACACCTGTGGGTACACTACACCTGTGTGTATACTACACCTGTGTACACTACACCTGTGTGTACACTACACCTGTGTGTACACTACACCTGTGGGTACACTACACCTGTGGGTACACTACACCTGTGTGTATACACCTGTGTGTACACTACACCTGTGTGTACACTACACCTGTGTGTACACTACACCTGTGGGTACACTACACCTGTGGGTACACTACACCTGTGTGTATACTACACCTGTGGGTACACTACACCTGTGTGTATACTACACCTGTGTACACTACACCTGTGTGTACACTACACCTGTGTGTACACTACACCTGTGGGTACACTACACCTGTGGGTACACTACACCTGTGTGTATACACCTGTGGGTACACTACACCTGTGTGTACACTACACCTGTGTGTACACTACACCTGTGTGTACACTACACTTGTGTGTACACTACACCTGTGGGTACACTACACCTGTGGGTACACTA